ATTCGTTTTACGGCCTTGAAAGCGCTAATGCATACCTACAACTATCACAATGTTTTCGTTTCGATGATTTCTCATTCATCATTTGCAATCGATTCAGTAATTACTTAGCGATTTCATTCTCAATAATGATGTACTGTGATTGGTGTAAAACTAACCAGAATGACAAATTCTGAGATATATATTACGTCCGACCAACAAATGCGAGCTTCGCAAATAATGTGTGATATTGACCGTTTACCGTCGCGACAGTTCAATGCTTCACTATCGAATGAATTACAAAATCATTTGACTCATTGGTGTTAGAAAACGCAAAATTTTAAAGCCGAGTTTCAAAGTATACGACGAATCGGTCAATTATTTTTTATAATCAGTGATAAAAATTTAGACACACATACTGGATGTAATACGATTTAATAAGGAAAATAAGTTAAATTTTACTATGAATAATAATATTTTCTTATAATAAATTATCAAGTAACATTAATGTAGATAATGCTTAACTCCAATTAAGGAAGAAAATGGAATAAATTCTGGTCCCATTCTAATTATTATAAAAACTTATGACTTAACAGAACTAGTCTTAAGACGTTTTCTATATTACGCACATTTAAAAAAAAAATGTAGAAATTGCAAGTACTACCGTGAACTAGTTTCAAATCAATTAAAATAAAGTGATATTATATAAGCATGTAAGCCTAACACATTAAAATAAAACTATCACCTGTTTCATTTGATTAAAGAAGCTTCCGTTCGAATTAATACAAAAATTTAGATGTTAACTTTAGTTAAATCATAAACTAAAAGTATTCTCTATCATAATTTCTTATCTATCTATTCTTTTATAACTACTAATTTATATTGTGTTTCTGATAATTTATTAAATATGCTTGGAGAGATTTTTTATGTTGAATATTTTAGATTAAGAAATATTGTATTTTACTCAGGATTTTAATAATTTAATAATATTTTAATACAAAATAATTTAATACAAAATAAAAAATTTTATTTCTAGAAAATATTACTGTAACATTCGTTATCAATGATTCTATGCATTTGATTCATTTTATAGCGAAATAATAACTTTCATAAATTGATACTAATCTGAAAATTATCTTCAAGTTTCTAAGAAGATCTAACAAAATTTTGCACTGCAAATTTATTGTTCAAGCATAAATTTTTCTCTCCTGAATAATGTTTTGATATTCATTTTCATTGGGATCTACCTTGTTAACTACTTTTTAAAGTTCGATAGTTCAGTAATTAATATTGCTTTCATTATATAAGAAATTAACAATTCTTGATACAAAAGAATATTAAAAAATAATGCTTCGTTACTGAATCTACTGAATAAATTACGTTACTAGAGAAAAAAGTAAATGATTATGATCAAACATGTTTCATTATAGAATCCTATTTATCAAATGAAAAATAAAATAAAATGAAATAAAATTATCAACAAAGAAAATATAATATAAAATTTTAATTCAAGTACAATATTTGTATTGTATAATTTAATAAGGAATTTTTATAAAGGAACATTTACGAAAATTTATATAGCCATGAACATAATAATAAAAATATGTAATAAATTGCAATTATATTTAAACAAGTATTTATTAATTATTTAGATATCTTTTTACGCTTTAACATGTTTTGAAAAATACTATATAAATTACAAATATTATAAATTTGATGACAAATTAAATATAAATTAATCAAATATAGTTCTTAAGTGTCAAATCCACTAACTACAAAATGAATACAACAAGAAGCATCAATAATTACTTGGTTTTATATGTATTTCATTTAAAAGAGTTGTTTATTATCTTATAGCTTATTGTTTCATTTTAAAAGTTAGATAAATGCTATTGTCTTTGGAAAACTACAGTTTCATTTATATCAGTTAATTAAACAAATTGCACTAATTATTTATCGTTGCATTTATGAACTTAATTTAATATCATTAATTTTTAATAATTTTCAAGTTTATGTTTTTAAGTTGTATATTTTTGTAAGTTTTTATAAGTTTATATTTGTCATTTAGAAGAAAGGGTTATTTTATTTTATATATACTTCTTATTTTATCATTATATTTATAATATTGTAATTTATAAAATTTTATTAGATAAAAGTATATATAAAAAATTATCTTTGATAGAATAAAATCTTTTGAATTAAAAAGTCAAAAACTTAATTTAAAACTTTTAATGTTATTTTAAAAAATTATATGATTAATAATAAATACTTTATATTCGAAACTCTAAACCAAATTAACAAATGCATATATGTATTCTTAAATTAATAATCTATGAATCCAATATTTAAGCTTTATACTAAATTAATAAATACATACATTATCCTCTAACAGTTAGAATTTTCATACTCAATCACGAATTGGCAAAATCGACTTTGATAAGTTGCCATAGTAAGTAAACAATTGTTTTAAAGTTGTACTGAAAGTTTACTAGCCATTATAATAATGTATCGGTTATTATTTTATATTTTTTATAGTATAATAATCAAAAGTACATAATTAGTAAAATAATTTTTTCAAAAGTGCCGTAATAGTTCAGCGTATGGTCATCGAGTTCGTTTTCATATGTAAAAATTACCGGTTTAACAAGTTTATCGATGTGGAACCATGATGAGAAAAACGATAGTTCCTCTCGTGGTATTAACCTTTTCGTGATTCCAATAGATAAATTAAAAATTCATATCACCACATAATGCCAATGGCTCCTTCGTTGCCTACTAACCATAAACATAGATCACCAGGGCGAGAAAAAAGTAGTTCTTAGGTCGACTAACTGGTTTTTGGAATTGCATCGAAATCATCGACGGAATGTCGTCTATGTGACAAGGAAAAAACCTGAAACGAGAAATTTCAATATGGGCGTTGGTGATTACGCCGGCCGTAAGGATCGATTCTAGAATACAATTTAGTGAGCATAAAAGATGTTAACATGTATGCAGAATTCAGTATATTTATCGATGAATGTATAGGAACATCATCTGGGCCGGATATCATTACAGTACATATTTATTAAGTAACTGAAATTCTAAAAGAATAATTTTTTACCGACATATCATTAACCAAACTGTAATATTGTATTTGAGTCCACGTATTCTATAATAGATATTACAGATAAAATTAACGGGATGGCAATTCCTTGGAAAGTGTTTTTCCTAGTGATAACATCAGTATTATTAATTTCTAATTACGAGGATGAAGAGAGAGAGAGAGAGAGAGAGAGAGAGAGAGAGAGAGATGGAGGGAGACAGACAGATTGCTTCGACTTTCCTTAGAAAAATGTACCATGAAGTTGTTTGAATATGCGATTTATACCATTTGCACGAGTCATTCTTAATTATTCAATGAATAGTAGCCTCAAAGAATTGCCAACTAATATTTTTCTTTTTTTTCCTTTTTTCCGTGCTTGATTATTCATTTTGTAAAGTTTTTATGATGCACAGATGTGCAATTGGTTAGGAAAATACTCGTCTCTTGATGACTAATAATTTATAATTTCTTTTTTTCGCTTTTTCGATTGTTCTGTTAAATAATTGACTTTGCTAAAATGCTATATTCATTTAATCAACAGTCTAAAGTTCCTTATTTTTTTCTGCAATTATAAAAAAAAAGATCTCTTTATTACTTTGTTATTTGTTTGCTGTAAATGATTCAATATTATGAAAAAACTTTTAATATTCTTAAAAGTTGGGATTGATATTTTCAATACTTTTTTTAAAATTTTTTAATTTTAACTATCTATGTCTGTAGTATCAAAAATTGCTATGGTTTGTGGTGATTATCTCGGCTTTGTTTCATGGAAAGTGATACAATTGAACTGAAACAATCAATTCAAAATCAATTCTGTATTTTCGCATCTGTAACTCTTTATTTGCATGTGACGATGTTAGAAGCGTCGACGGAATCAACTTTTTTTTTCAATTATTCAATAAATTGCGCCACATAGCATTTATTTTTCTTTACTCCGATTCTGTACAAAGCATGATAGAGAGAGAAACACAAGAGCATGCACTAAATTAATTGTTTCGTTTGTTTCGTATAATTCAAACTGTGTAATATACTAATGATTTTTAAAGTCGATTTTATTACTTGAATTGAACAAATTAATTAAATGGTAATGCTCAAATATAATGCCACACTATTGCTGTTAGAATACTCATTATAAATTTTCAGCATATTTTATATCTTTTATTTTACACAAGGCTTATGACTTGAGTGTATTAAATAACATTTTAAAACATAATAAGCATAATACAAAATTATCAAAAATTAAGTATCTTTATTTGATGAATAAATTAATTATACTTTATTAACAGTGGATGTTTAGTAGTATTGAAAATTATTTATTCTTACAGAATTCATCTTAAATAATTATATCTCAGATATAAAAAAAAGTCTTCCTGTTACTATATGTAATTTATAATTGTTTATGAATTTTTAGTTTAATGAAAATACTTTGATATCTGACTGGAATTAACAATATAAAATATTTCATTTAAACATTTTTATTGGGTTAAACGTTGTAATTAAAAATGTTAATCATTTTGTGATTACAATCTCATCCATTTTCCCATTTTCACCTTAGGCACATTTTATATTAATAGTATGTAATTAGAAAATCAAGAAAATTATTGTAAATTTTGTTAAATTGAAAATTCATCCAGCAGGTAATATTGTCTTTGAAATAAGTTATTATTACCAGACTCTAAAACCTAAATTGAATTCGCTTTGCTGTTGAATATGACCCTAGAAAGTGTTGGAAAATAAAAATTATGAAATATAATGATACAGATTTTTATACAAACTTTTAAATATAAGTGTTAAACTTTAAATTTGATTACTTTATTATTATATTTCTTTTAAATGAGCAAAATTCTTAATTTATTTTCAGTAGTGTAAATATAGTAAAAAAAATTTCCTAATGTTCTTGTCATTGTGAAGCTATTTAAATGTCATTACTTGTTTGCAGGGGCGCTTTCTCGGAAGTCCGCCTAGCCGAGAGCAGAACTCAGCCGGGCATGATGTACGCAGTGAAGATCATCGACAAGAAGGCGATCAAGGACAAAGAGGATTCGTTGGAGAATGAGATCAAAGTACTGAGACGGTGAGTTAGGTTTTCTTTCTTTCGCTTATTCTTTTCTTTCTTTGATGCATATTATTTTTGTTTTTTGCATGCCCGACGCGACTTATCACAATCTTGTCACCATCCCTAAATTCTTCCCTCCTTCTACACCGCCGCGGCCGCTACCACCACCACTGACTTCTCTCCTTGACAACGGGAACTGCGACTTGATTATTGATGAACTTTGTTTTTAAGCGTGTTTTATTTAATTACATTTCACTGCATTATGTGCAATGATCGTTACAGTTTTAATTAACGCATTTAAATTGTCAAACAAGTATTTTAGACTTTTCGTTACTCCGTATAGTTCGGGATACGCGCTTGCGTAATGTAATACATAGTTTCTCGGCAAATTTTAATCAACAACTGTTTCATTTACAGTTGTTCTTTCTTTTAGTCGGATAGAATCCTCGCGTACTGCCATTCGATTATTATTATTTATATTGTAATTATATTTCCTGTTGTGTTTCAATCTCAATGTAAAACTAACAAAAGCTTGAAATTTAACTTATTTTACATGTTTTCATAATTAGGCGAAGTTATGTATAGATCAATGTCAAATTTTTAAATTTTGAAAAATTTGACTTCGATTTATACTGACTCTTATGCGCATCGTGATAAAAATGTGTTTAAATATATTTTTTATATTACTTGTTGTTCATTAATAGCTATTTATGTAGAAAAGTAATTGAGATCATATCAGTACCAAAACTTAAGTACTTATTGCTTTTTACGTTTTATATACATATAGTGCGTGTATAGAGCTATGTAAATATATTTTTCATTGAATACTGCTTATTAACAAGGTGTTGTTTTTCTTTGTGCTATGCCGAAAGCTGTATAATTTACATAACATAAATCCTAGTTATGATCCCTATATAATGCGCTTTAATCTGTTTAATCATAGTACGATCCTTGTTTAATGCGCTGATCTTAGTATTTTCTGCGTTTTACGTTCTGAAAGTACTTATCCTACAATTTTATAAACGTAAAACGTAATAATATACGTTTTTCTTTTGGTAATTGCTAATTGCTGTTTTTAGACAACAAACCCCTTATTTTATCTATTTTTACATATAACAGCGCTAACTATGTATATATGTGAATTCATGAATTAAGTACTGCAAATAATTTGATCGATCACGTAATTCAAGTTCCAAAAGAGTAAATCGAAATGTAATATTGATTTAAAATACTATCATTAAAAATTGGAAATTGGTAATCGAACGGTGCCAACAAGAAAAAGCTAGAAGAAAGTAAAACTTAGTAGATTTTTTCGATTTCATTTATAGATAAAAATCCTGAATAAACTCATCGTTTCATATATACATGTATCTAATCATAGCTTGGAAACTGTAGAAAAAATTATCCCAAAACTTTAATAATATTCTTTTAATAATTCACTAAATTACTTAAATTGAAAACATTTAAAAAATTGTTAAAGCACGCATGATAGAAAAATAAAATGTGAGCTAATGTCGACAATAAAATAAAGTGATTCATGATTCATGATGTCGTGAATATCTGATATATATTATTGTATAATACTATAATTTAAAATGTGCGAATAATTAACAACCACTTGAAAGTATATAACCTTCGAATCTAATTAAATTCTCTCGCATTTATTACACGACAGTAAGTATTATATTTACAATTCACTAATCCATTAAAGCAAGACTTATTTTATATTTAACATAATAAAATCAGTATTAGATAGCTTCGCTTATCTGTAACAATGGCTCCTATTTATAGTAATTGGTTCGATTGGATGATGTACAAATTTTCCTTTCAACTCATTATTCTTTTCTTTCCACGCAATGTAAAGACGAAAGTAATTAATTTAATTATAATTTTAAACTCTCATATTGAAACTATAGGGTATAATTTTTGTTGTCAATATTGACTTCCGGTGATTAAATAGGTCAGAAAACAATGAAAGATGGGATGAAAGGGGTAAGTGACAAAGTTACCGCAAAGTGTGAATAATTAAATTATCTGCATGTGGCTTGCGATTGTGTATATCGGCGTTATTTGTTAATCCACAGGTTCAGTCGATGCGTGACGTCGTACAGTGGTGATGGCTCACTCAAGTCGGATGATAATAATGAAGAAAAGGAATGGTAAGTGGACCCTTCCTCAGAGCACCAACTCTATATGCCAAACACTTTCGCTTTCTCAGTCATTCATCGTCTTCTCCCTCGTCTTCCCCCTCTTTTATATATACACAGCTCAATCTATTATTAAGTACAACTATCTCGCAAACACTAGTTATGCATATACATATACGTAATATATCCCTTGTGACTCATTCTTTTTTCCATCTTCACACTTATCTTTTATCAACGAGACATTTATTCAAATGGGACTCTAGCAGTCTGCATATATCTCGAATTACTCTTGCACACATTGTTTTGTTGATTCTGTATTTCTTTTTTTATTTTGTTTTTTGTTTTTAATAGTCACTAGATCTTTGCTCTAGCTTTATATTGTTTTGAATTAGTGTTTATGATTGTCTATATCATCTATTCTTATTTACTTATTCTATGTCTTTATTATACTTTATGTGTAAGTTATTTACTAATTTTTAGAAATAAATTTTAAACGAGTATTTAAAAGCATAATTTATTATAACGAAACAAACACACACACATATATATATATGTGTAAACTAATAATATGTTCATAAAAATATATTCCTAAAAAAAATAAATGATGCTTCATCTACTGTTTCAAATTATAGAATGTATTACATAACTAATATTCAAAGATTACTATCCTTTACGATATTAAGTTATTTAGACAATACATTATAGTGCTATACCTATCCATTCAATAGTGTGTTTATTATTTCACCATTTCTGCTTTTTTAACTTACATGTAATAAAATGCACAATATATTTTAGATACAATTATAAGGAATTACATATATGTATTTTCTCATTTTTAGCATTTGAAAAACTGCTCGTGCCTCGTTTTTGATATTGGAAATTTAATGATCGAAAATTAAACAGCATTAGATTTATGCATAATATCACCGTAATATAACTTGATGAGGTCATGAGTCGTGATTAATTTCTAAATTTATTGCTTATGAAAACATTGCTGGTTTTTTTTTAATAGCATTGTTTAATATAAATTTAGATTTAATTAACTAAACTTTATATTTAAAATATCTATAAATTTACAATAATTGCTCGAATTTAATTATATTTGTTGAGTATTCAATGAAAATTTTATTTTTTAACGAATTTTTTACGATACAATTCACAAGATTATTGTCCGAAAGTTGAATTTTAACTAGAAAATTTATCAACACAGTAAAAAAATAGTTTAAAAATATATGTTAAATTAGTTTAAACCTGAATTTCCATGTTGATTCAAGGATAAAAAAAAATTCAAATTTCCAACTGTATTTTCCAAATATAATTATCAGCGTACATAATCCATTATATCCATTATCTAAAAAATAGTAAAACAAGTATAGTTCCTAGAGTCACCATCAATGGTGCGCCACTTAAAAGATATGGAGACAGAATTGTTTGAAACAACCTATCGACCTTATCGACTCATTAATGACGCATACCCTCAATAATTAGGTTTTATGTATAGTTACACGTAGTGTAATGGTTCTGTCAAATATAATCAACCTGTACTTCGGCTCTTGTCCATTTTATCGAACACGGACGTTGTACTGCAGCCACTTGTTGGATAAATTGATTTAACCTAAATCTTTGTATTAGGTTGATTTAATGTTCTTTTTAAAATAACATTCCTACTTTCTGGTGAAATTATTTATCAATAAATTAATAAATTCTAAATATATTAGTCGTATATTATTAATGGTAAGTGTAAAAAGTAAATTCAATATCGAACTTGAGCTTTCCATTTTCTGGTCTTTTATAAATTCATTATGTTTTTATGCTTCTTCGTATTTGGTGAATTAACATTGAAAAATTATAATAATTGATGAAATTATAAATTAAAGATTTATAATGAAAAAAAAATCAATTAATATAAATCATAGACCTCTCCGTGATACTTGGATATTACTATATTCAATTAAAATTGTTAATTATAACATGAATTCCGAAATTTTATGACGAATTGAATTTTATAAAAATGAAATTTTTAATTCTGAAGAATTCTAAGTTATTTTTTTTCTATTTTTATCAAATGCTGAACATAAATTTATTTTATATGCCTTTCCATCTATTCTCAAGTCTTTTTATATTATATAATTACATTTTTCATATCCGTTTTTTCTCAATTATAAAGAATAAAATCATATATGATGATTCAATTTTTTATGAAGTTTTGGAATTACATAAAAATTAAATTTTATGAACATCTATTTTGAAACAGAATACATCGAGGCTATGAGTATATATATAGAAAACATTTTTATTTTATATAGATTTATTTATTATATATGCCGAAACGGAATATATCTCTTTGAATATTTATTAATACTTTTCAATCGTGATTAATTATTATTATGGATGCAAGCATATTATGTGGAATAAGAATATGGAATCCAGAATTGAAATACGAAGGATATATAATTTTTAAAAACCCTGTCTCCAAAACTCTACTGTACCAAGGACTATTTTAATTTCATTGATATTCCACGTTATTTTAACCATAACGGGGAGTACAAGAAGAGTAGATTAATTGACGTCACGCTGTATCCTTTTAAATCACTTCAGCTTCACCTCCAATCTATATTAACTAATTAGAAATGAAATTAAATGAAATTAGAAATTAAATTTGGCAACAAAAAAAATTGCGGAGAGCGTTAAACCGATTGTATCGTACGTCTCTCAAATTTTTTTAGATTTTCAATTGACTGCGTTTTAGAAATGTGATTGCGCATCACAAGCCAATTCAGTATGCATTAAAAGTGTCTAGACTCAGTATCATACGTGACAATCCATTTCTATATATTTTCTCTCATCTTAACCAATAATAAATTAATGGATCTTTAATGTCATGAATATTTTCGCTTTTTAAAGTTATTAACAGATCTCTCATATGAATTATTTATTTCGTACATTCGTGCTTACTTCTTTGTGAAATTAACATAAATATTTGAATACTAAAAATAATTTTTTTTTTACATATTAAATAATTATAATATTGAAAAGTTTATTAATTATCAATTTCTTGACGCATGTTAATATATGTTCTCAAGTAATAATATTAAAGTGAAAAATACGTACAATGAAATATTAAAAACATACGTAATTTTTACATCTGTTAAAATTCTGATAAAATAAAACATAATGTTGATGAACAAATTGTAAAGTAAAATTATATACAGCGTTTATATGAACACAAAGAAGTTTATCATTTGATTACAAACTAACAAATATAAAAAAATTAAATATTTATTAATTTCTTACTAATATATTTCAACTAAATAAAATAATTCCTTCTCAATTAAAAGCTAATTATAACTATGGCAATAATTCTTTATCTCGTTGGATGCGTATAGAATATTAGTGATATAATTTCTTTAATGTGAAAATTATATGAAAATTTAAAGTGAAAATTAAGCTCCTAAATAATCTAAAATCTGCAAATAGCTACAATTTGTTGTCTTCTATACTCATTCATATAGATCGATACTTTAAAAAGTTGATGAGTGTACTTTTTTGCGGAAATAAAAGACTCTGTACAAATACTACGTGATATAAAAGTTTTCCAATGATTATAACTTACCATTTTCAAATAAGTATTTGAATAATCAAATGCCCAAATTTTAATACTGAAAAAAATTGTATTTATAAAAAGTACATAACAGTTTCGATTCATAATTTTTTTCGTTAGTTATTATAGAAATACGGATAATTAAACAATCGAATTACGATAATTTATTACTTAAATTTAATTTACTTCAGTCATAAATTACCAATAATCTTGTACAAGCCTTCTTATAAATAATAAAATACAGAACTTTGTATTAATAACTATTACAATCCAATAAATATAAGTATTTTTATAACAAAAAAAGATAATAATTATTGGAAAAACATATTCTACATTATCCATAATTTCAACATTATATTTATATTTACAGAAGCTGAATTTGACAATTATTCAATCAAAATATATATCTGATAAATATGTATAATATAAAATGTTATATTAGAAACAGAGCTATAAGATATATTTCATTGAACAAAGACGTAGCTCCTAAATTGACAGCCAAAGCACATGTGTTAATATACGTATTCAATCAATAATAATCATTTGAAACCATATAATACAATAAGTGGCTTGTTGCAAGTACTGAATTAATTTGCTTCATAACTGACTCTTGTAAATCTATACTGTTTAACCTTTATTGGATTAACTTATGAAAACATTAAATTCAAAAGCTTCTTCGAATAATAATCTCATACATATTTGTTTTATAAAATCAAGATCAAAATGATATTATCCTATTTGTATTACTAATACGAATACTAATGAATATAAACTTCATATATTAAAAATCCTAAATAACAAATAATAAATAGAAAAATGGTGAATAATAAAACATATACGACAAATATTTTAACGACGAAAAAGTAAATTGATTTCTACATTGATTGATTCACTTTTTATGCAAATAACTGTTAGAGATACATAATAATGGCTATTAATTATTCTTTTTTCTGTAATTACGTACGCAGGCATTTAATCTTTAGTATTTTATTTAATTCTTATTTACCATTATAAAATAATATATTATTTAATATATATAATTTAATAGGTACGATATCAAATAATAATCAAAGATTAAATTGTTTTTAATTTTGTAGGTTGAAATCGATTGTTAGTAGTATACAAATGTATTAATAATAAAGGAAATAATCATTAATAATTAATGAACTATTAATTGTCTTTCTTTCTTTGTATATGTAATACTGAAAACAAATATATTCATTTATTTTGTATACTCCTTTTATTTTTGTAAATTTTATTATAAATAATACTGATATATTGAATAGTATATTAGACAAACATATCTAAAACCATATAAGTTTTTTTAAAATATAAGAAAAATAATTCAATTTCGTGAAACTAGATAAATTTATTCGTGTAATAGTATCTAACGTAATTTAATTTTTTTAAC